GACTCAGTTTAGGCATTAACTTCCAGACACACATTTGCAAACAGAACTTGAAGACGATTTCTGTTTGTTTGGGGTTATTTTTGTGGTTTTGATTTTGTTTTTGTTTTGTTTGTTTTTTGAGACAAGGTCTCAGTATATAGTCTAGACTGGCCTCGAATTCATGGTGATCCTCCTGCCTCAGCCACCTGAGTGGTGGGATCACAGGTGTTTGCTGCTACACCCAGCTGTAGACTTGCAAGCTTTTATATCATTCCAACCCAACACTGTAAATTGCAGTTTGGGCCAGAAATGCTCAGAAGTGTGTAATTATGTGAACTTTCCTCCCTTTTTCCTGTTCTTCACCGAAGACGTCCCCCTGAAAGAGAATCAGCAGAGCAGTGCTTCTGAGAAACAGCAGAGCCAGTTAAGTGCTCCTAAGAAACAGGAGAGCCAGAGCTCTCCCCAGCCTGTGGTCAGTCTCTTCTCTGAGGGTAAGCGAGTCCCACAGTCCCTGCCTGAGTTGTGACAGAATGAAGACCAGCAGACAGCAGCAGACAGAAGCCCTTCCTGGGTGAAGGGTGAAGCTCCTGGCAGGAGATGGAGGCTGCTGCACCCCCGCCAGGCGGACTTCCCCGGTCTCCCCTGGTGGACGAACCCAGCTCCCCTGCCCAGGCCCGACCCGCAATGCCCCACGGTGCCGGCTGGGGGCCCAGCAGCAGTGTCCAGAACAGGTGCTGCCCAGCCTGGTCCTTTCTCTCAGAGCCCAACAAAGTCAGCCCTCCTCCCTGCGAGAAGGGGCACAGTAGGCAGAGCGCCCCCAGGGCCCCGAGTCCAGTCGGGAGCCTCGGTCCTCAAGGAGCTTGATAGACTGTGTGGAGGCGCTGAGGAGAGCTGGGGTCCCGGGGCATGGATCCCTCCGCCCTGGAGACCGGAGGCCAGGAAGGGTGCATGCAGCACCAGGGACACACGTGTGGGCCCGCTGTGGGGTGCCCCAGTTGCAGAGCCCTCACGGGTGCCTCTGGCGTGGAAGAGGGGAGCCTGTGAATGCAGATTCCTGGGCCTGCGGGCAGCTCCGGGCGCCCAGGCACCTGCGCTTCAGTTACTCCCCAGGCACGCGGCCTCTCCGGGGGCCAGCGCACTCCGGTGGGACCAGAAGAGACAGTTTCAGGGCTTGGACCGGAACATGGTGCTGTTTAAAATCCACATTTGCCCCACGCAGGGCCTGCGCCTGTTGCTCATGGCTCCAGGCTGAGTGTACCAGTTAGGCTCCTTCTGGACGTGGGCACAGGCCTGAGGCTGTGGGGTCTACACTGAGGCCCTGCCCGCAGGTGCCCATGCCCACCGGTGGCTGCCCGGCAGCAGCCTATCAGAGGAGGCAGATGCTGAGAGGACACAGGGCGGCCAAGGCTGTGAGATGGGACAGGACACCGGGGCCCAGCTGGGTGGGCACCCTCGGGACGGACAGGGCCAGGGAGACACAGTATGCCCTTCACCTACCAGGCCGAGGGACTGACCTGCAGCCGCGCGCAGCGTCTCTCCCCTCTAAGGGCTCCTGGGCTGTCGGGATGCAGGGACACTCATCCTAGAGTCTGTTGCTCCCACCCACCATGCCAGGCCAACCGCTTTGGGGACCAAGGGCAATGCAGGTGAGGTAGGAGCTCGGGAGAGGGTGGCTGAGGGCCAGCCCAGGAGGAAGCTTGGGGACAGCCAGGACTAACACGGCCCCTGGCCATCTGCAGAGGAGAGAAAAAGAGTGGCAGGAGAGCCTGCGCCCAGGGCCTCGGGACATTTCGGAAACGAGTCCCCGCCCCGCCCGGTGCCTGCCGTGGGTTCCCAGTGCTGGGGCCACCGTGGCCCAGGAATCCTTCCATGGTCAGAACCCCGTCCCGGGCCACCAGTGACCCCAGAGCAAAGAGGAAACTCGGCCCCCACCATGCAGCTGCCCGTGGACACACAGTGCAGCTGACGAGCAGGAGCGGCCCGGCCCTACACAGGCCGGTGCCGACGTCCCGGCCACGGGTCCTGCGCCCACCCTGAGCCGTGCAGCGACCCTGCCTGGCCAGCTGCTACCCACAGGGGCTCCGCTCAGCCAGCAGCACAGGCCCCTTCGTGGGCGGAGCTCAAGACCAGGGACCGTGGCTGTCCACTCCACGTGCAGGGCAGAGGTCGGCCCCACAAAGACAGCAGCCCAGTAGAGCGGGCCCAGAACTCCCGGTCCCCGCTGCTCAGGGCTCCCTAAGTGCCACCCCGTCTTCAAATACATGTGAGTGTGGGGACCCTGTGTGGCGTCCTCCTGAGCCACACCTTGGAAAGGTGAGGAGAAGAGCCGGGGCTTTGCTTTGTCTGGCCGACCTGGGGATGCAACCCAGGACCTTTGCACCGAGTTACATTCCGGCCCTCTTCAAAATGGTTTCTCTTGGGGCTGGGGATTTAGCTCGGCGGCAAAGCGCCTGCCTGGCAAGCGCAAGGTCGTGAGTTCAGTTCCCGGTACCGGAGAAAAACCAAAAAAAAAAAAAAAAAACAAAAACAAAATTGTTTCTCTTTGAGATAGTCTCACAAGTTGGTAAGTTGCCCCGGCTGGGGTTGAACTTGCCGTCTTCCTGCGGCAACGAGGTTTTAAGGTGGTCATCGGAGGAATGAATCTCTAAGGGGAGATTTGGGCCATCACAGCAGGGGCTATGCCATGGAAACGCCCTGCCGCATTTTCTGGGCTGCAATTGTTCTACATACACTACAAGAGGAAAGATGAGGCAGTGTGATTTATTTTGCTGATGTTGTCTTTTCACAGTGTTTTATATTTGCTTCTTTTTTTAATTTTTTGAGACAAGATCTCACCATGTAGTTCAGGGCAGCCTTAAACCTACTGTGTAGACTAGGCTGGCTTCGGCAATCTTCCTGCCTTAGCCTCCCAAGTGCTGAGATTACAGGTGTGCACCAACACATCTGGCTATATTTGGTTCTTATTAATCCATGCCCTTTTCTCATAGATGTTCCATAGCCCTATCTCAGAAGATACAAAAGAGGTGCCCAGTAGTGACCTATTGCACATTTGTTAGTGAAAAAACGGGGCTGTGTTTACTGTACATGTGCAGACAGCCTGGTGAAAAAAAAAGCACGAGCTTGGAATTTGTCTTAGTTACTATCTTAGTGCTGGTACAAAATACCTGATACCCACAAGTTAAAGAAAGAAAGATTTATGTTAGCTCACAGCTTATAGCGGTTTCAGTCCATAAAGAGCTGATGACAAGGCAGGGCAGCATGGCAGAAGGGAATGGCAGGGCGGTGGAGGGGGGCAGTCCATGGCAGGGTAGGCAGGAGGCAGGAAGTGTAGGGAACCTTCCTTCCCCTTTTTATTCTATTCAGGCTACAAGCCTATTGGTTGGTGCCACCCACACCCAGGGTGGGGCTTCTCATGATCCATACCCAGAATTACACTAAACCAATCAGTGACTAATCTAGTTGTTACACCTTTAATCCTTAATCCAGTATCACACACCCATGATACAGCCACCTCCCAAAAGCCCCACCTACCAGGAATGGTGGCACTTGCCTGTAATTCCAGTACTCGGGAGGCTGAGTCGGGAGGATTTCCACAAATTTGAGGCCAGCCTCCAATACATAATGAATTCTTGGGCCAGGGATATAGCCCAGTGGCACAAGCGCCTGCCTGGCAAGCTCAAGGTCCTGAGTTTGATTCCTGGTGCCAAAAAAAAAAAAATGAGCTCATGATCAGCCTGAACTGCATAACAAGACCTTGTCTCAAAAAAAAAAACAAAAAACCTACCTATGAATGCATGAGGCTTTGGAGGGAGATCTAGACACAAGCTATAACAGAACTGAACCAAAATTGGTGGTTGGATCTGATGGTTGTTCTTGGTTTCTCCCACAGAAGAGGAGAAAGAAGCACTTTATCAGATTAAAACCCTCTCTGCGCTGGAGAAAATCATCGACAGCCTTCAAAGAGTGCTAAGTAAGGGCTGGAGCCCAGGTCCCGGGTGACAGGCGGGCGTGAGAGAGCTCGGGCCTAGGAGCCCTGCCTCGCTCTCCACGCTGGGAGCCTGAAGGCAGGGGCTCAGTCCCGGTACAGCAGCCTGAGCTCTGCTGGGGTCTTCCATTGGGCAGGGCCGTCCACCCAGGAACACCTGGCTTCACCTATCAAGGGTTACAGCACGTCCCCGAGGGGCTCTCCCCACCCGGGCACATGGAGCAGCGGGGTTCCCCTTTCCCAGAAGGCACTGGGACCAGGAGGCTGCAGTCATCTCAGCCACAGGCTCAGCCACGTAGGGTCACTGCTTGCACCTTCATGACCAGGCAAGGCTGGTCCCCCAGACCTCCCAGTGGACGTGGCCCTTCCATGGCACTGCGTTTCCTCGCCTCCCACCCCGCATATGGGGGCCTCCCTGCGCCCTTGTCCTTGCCCAGATGGCGCTGCCTCAGCCCTACTGAGAAGCTGCCCGTGTACACCCTGGCCATACTTCTCCAGGGACTTTCCAGATACCCTCGGCCTGCTCCAAGCCAGTCTCTTGGGAGGTTGCAGCTCTGAGTCCCTACCTCCGGGGCGGCCACCTGCAGGCACACGATGGCTCCCGGGTCGGCCTCAGCCCCCACGTCTCCCTCCCCACCCCACACACCTGCCCGCACCCTCAGCTTGGGGTATGGTGTGGCAAAGGGGCTCCCACTAAGCCACCGGCCGCTGGCACGTAGCCCCATGCTGGGACAGAATGTCTAAGCCTGGCCTGGCTCAGGGACACGGAGACGAGGACACTGGTGTACCCCACCGTCCCTTTGTCCCCACACTCGGGGTCCTGATGCTGCCATCTGGTCCTAGGCTGGGATGGAGCCCCATGGCTCGGTGCTCGGGGCCTCCCTGTCCCCTGAGCTGTCCTCAAGCTCCGGCAGGACCAGCTGTGACGTGGGATTGGCCCTCCTGACTCCACAGGGCCAGCACCTCTGGGCTGTGGATGGCAGCGTCTGGGCTGTGGCTCCTCCCACGCCGGGCACCCGCCACCACCCACAGCAGAGGGGCAGTTGGCAGCCACCGCCCTAGGAAGGGTCCCCAGGAGGAGTCCTCCAATCCCAGTTCCCTGGGACCCGCTGCCTGAGGATGGTCACTATTCTAGACCCCAGAAGTCACAGAGACGGAGCCCAAGGCTCTGAGTCAGCCATGTCTACAGCTCAGGGACAACGCCAGAAGCACTGTGTGTGACTGTGGGGTCTCTCAGTCCCAGCAGTGCTCCGAGAGTGGAACCCCAGAGTCCTTTCCTGGAGGCTGATCCCACAGGAGCAGGTGCCGCAGCGGGTCCCGGGGTCCCGAGGTCCTGTCCTCACTGCCTGCCCAGTTAGGCAGAGCTGAAGAAAAGGGACACTCGAAACGCCATTTGGGCCCTGGGGACACTGTGACTCCTCCGGAGCCCTCTGTACAGGTCAAAGGCAGGGGCGGTGCGTTCCAGAGTTTGATTGTATCTTGAAGACACAAGGAATGTTTTTTTTCAGTTTCCCAGAAGGGAAAAGGCGTTGTAACTTGGGCAACTTTGATTGTTTTCCAAAGCTGTGGCTTTCTTAAAAGCACAGTTTTAAGCATGGTGATGCATGCCTGTAATCCCAGCACAAGGCAGGCTGAGGCAGGAGGATCACAATTTCAAGGCTAGCCTGAGCAAAGTAATGAGATCCTGTTTCAAAAGAATCAAAACAAAACAACGAAGAATATAAGTTTAGACTAGGATTTGCCTTGTCCCTTTTCCACCAATCTCATTTCTCCCATCCTCCCTCAGCCTGACCTGCTTTCAAGTTGCTTGACCTTGGGAGACCTTGGCAAGCGACCGCACATCCTGTCCCCAGCCTGGGCTTCCTGCTCCTCAATGTCGGGCGGCCACAGCCCCACCTTGAGGGTTGAGGGGACGGAAGGAGATGACGTTTGTGGAGCGTGTGCATGAGCCAGCACTTGGGGGCTGCGGAGCCCCAGGGGACACAGCCTGGAGGAAGGCACTGGCGTGGCGGTGGACATCCAAGCCCCACAGCCCACAGCCCGCAGGCTGTCGCCGCAGTGAGCACCCCGGCCGTGGACAGCGTCCAGGAGCACCAAGCCGGGCTGAGGAGCCTGACCCCCACCCCCACCCCCAGGAGAGGTTGCAGGATGGCAGGCTCCTGCCGGAAGGGGGATTTCCAGGATGGGTCAGTAAGAGACACAACAGGATTCACTAGAGGGAAAGATCAGACGCGCACTCAAAGACAGAGCTCGGGCCCTCGAGAGACAGGCACGGTGCAGTCTGCGGCTGGGGCTAGTTGTGTGTTTTCGGTGGTGGAACCAGTGGGATTTGTCAGTCTGTGGTCTTGGCGTGGGGCACAGGGGAGGGCAGCTCGCTGGCAGGAGGGTGACGGCCACTGGCAAGGGAGCGCATCCCAGGTGAGCCTGTGAGGGCGCCTAGCGAGTGCGAAGGGAGCAGCTGAAGTTCCCTGGCTACGTGTGACCCAGGCTGACAGTTATAGAAGTGAGAAAGAGGAAAACTTTTTAAGCTGGGCTTGTGTCCTGAAGCTGAAGTTTCCTTTTTTAAAATTAGGATTTTCAGAGCGAGGTGTGGTGATGCACACCTGCAAACCCAGCACTAGGAGGCTGAGGCAGGAGGGTTGCCTCAAGTTCAAGGCCAGCCTAGGCTACATAGTAAGGACTTTGTCTCAAAACAAAATTATGATTTTCATTGTCTCCTGTCTACTCTCTTGTTTGTTTTTTGAGGCAGGGTCTCACTCCATAGTTTAGGCTAGCCTTGAACTCCCTATGTAGCCCAGGCTAGTCTCAAATTCAGAGCAATCCTACTGCTTTAGCCTCCCAAGTTAGGGGATTACTGGCACCCGTCACCATGCCCAGCTTTTTTGTTATTTGAGACAGGATCTCACTATCTATTCCAGGCTGGCCTTGAATCACTATGTAGCCCAGGCTGGTCTTGAACTTGCAGTGATCCTCCTGCCTCAGCCTCCTGAGTGCTGGCATTACAGTCATGCACCATCCCACCCGGCCAATTGTCTGTTTCTTCTTCCCTACTTCAAACCAACAGCAGAGCTGGGTGTTGAGGCACCAGCTGCCCATCTGCAGAACCCCTACCATGCCTCAAGAAAACCTCTTGCTCAACAGGAGAAAGCCTCAAGAAGAAGCGCAGGCTGCTCACGAGCATGCTGAAAGCCAGGTACCTGCACAGCAACAAGAGCCTGCCCTGAGCGCCCGGAAGACGGCCAGGGCACCCCTGGGGCTGGCACACGGCCAGTCAGCTGGCAGGACATAGAATAAAAGCGCCATATTTAAACATAACACCGAGGTGACATGGGGTTTTTCTTAAAACAGCAAAGAAAGCAACCTCAGTCTAGGGCCAGGGTGCAGCCCCGGGGCAGAGCCCCCGCCTAGGCTGGGAAGGCCGAGTTCCCCCTCCCAGACCAGCATCCCAATAGAAAGAAAACTGGCTCGCTCGGGCCTGAACAACAGGGTCCGGAGTTCGCTACTGCCTGACCGGTGATCGTTGAAGAAATTAGCACCAGAGCCTGTGTGTCACATCCTCCCAAGACCCCGCAGGCTGTGCGCGTGTCTTCACACGGGTGTCTGCACACTTGCGCATCTACACACTCGCGCATGCGCACGGGCCGCGGCAACCCCCCCGCGCTGTTCTGGGTCTGTCCTGCATTCAATGCGGAGGCACCGGAAGGTTCCGCAGTGGGGCTGTTGTTAGATATTCCCGCACAGCAGAGCAGGGATCGGACTTGGGTCCCCACTGCAGCCAGCAGGACTAGAGTGGGAGGAAGGAGTGTGGCTCCCCAGCCGTGGCACTGGTGCAGAATGGGCGACAGGCGTGCCTTGGATAACAGGACAGTGTCACAGGGACAAGGTACACTGTGGAGATGCGCTCGAAGCTTGCGGGGTCTGGAGTTGTGGGCACAGCCATGCAGGAAGCTGAGGCGGAGCGGGATGGCCGTGCCTGGGGAGACCACAGAGGCCACCCAAGAGTCTCGGCCTGGCCCTCCGTCCTGGAGCAGGCAGACGTCAAATCAGAGAACTGGGCTGTGGCAGAGGCCAGGCCGGGCGTGCATCAAGGGCAGCAGTCAGCCTGCTGCAGGATCCTGAGAACCAGACCCTGATGGGGGGAGTGCTGGCTCCAAGGTGGCAGAGGGCATCTGTGATGCACGGACCAGAGCTGCTCCTGGGGTGCTGGGGACCGACACTGGGGCTGAAGGGGCAGGGAGGGCAGGAAGAAAGGACTGGCCAGTTTTCGGAGGCTGGGCTGCCTGTACCACAGTTGGGCATGGTGGAGAGGGACGGGAGGGACCTGACCCGGAGGCAGAGCCTGGCCGGCGGGGATCCCAGGACCCAGGAAAGGGCTGCTCATTGGGCTGCCGGGTCGTGCAGAGCTGGTTATTTTCCACTGGGTCATAAGCATGGAATGTGTTGGAAATCTCCTCCACATGTTCTAAGGGACTCCTTCCTGCGCCGGAGATGGGTCAGCAGCCAGGGGGTCCCTGGAGGCTCATGTTGCCCCCAGTGTTCCAGCCCACTGGCTCCCATATCCCAGCTGGTGACAGAGCCCGGACAGGGACACCGCCAGTTTGGGTGAGCCCACCTGCCTGCCACTGCAGAGAAAGTGTTTCATCTTCCTCCGAGCACCGAGGACACGTCAGCAGGCCAGGAGCAGTCCCCTGAGGACACGCCAGCAGGTTACAGGGGACATGGACAAGAGCAAGCTACGAGCCTGCCTATCTCCAACTGACCCCTCAAAAGCCCACCAAAAACCCTTTAAATAAGCCTCTTCACCTGTAAGACACCTGCTCTACTCTGCTCACAGAGGTCCCTGTGGCCTGACCTGCTCAGACTGTGCAGTTTGTGTGCCCAGCTCCACAGAGCACTGTTTTTATTTTTATTTATTTACATATTTTTGGTACTGGGAATCGAACTCACGACCTCACGCTTGCCTGGCAGGCACTGAGCCGCTGAGCTAAATCCCCAGCCCCAGTGACTCTTCAAGGTGATCGCTCCGCTCCGTATTTAGAATATCAATCCCTGAGGTCCATCCTTAGGGAGGTATGTGGGCGCATTTGTTTAATCTTCTGTCTTGAGGTCTGGCCCACAGCAAATACCTGCCTTATCTTGTCTTTCACATTGGCTCCTTCCAGGGCCTGGCCCTGTCTGACCGCCTATAATATCTCTATCTAACTCAGCTGCCTATAACACTAGCTCCTCTGGGGAGTAGCTGTCCTTGCAGGGGTGAGCAAGGTGCTGGTCAGTGACAGGCTCCTCTGTGGGGTCAGCCACCCTGGACGCCAATGGCAGTGCCTGGGGCAGGTGGCCTTGCAGGGCAGAGATCCCCGTGGGCACCAGAGACTCCCCGCAGCAGCTGATAACAAAACTCCTGGGGTCCCATCAACAGTGGAATGTAGCCTTCAGGAAACACAAAACTGGTAACCTGCCCCAAGAGCCAACCAATAAAGGCCCTCTGTCCTCACAGTCTAAAAACCCTTTCACAACCAGTCCGCTCTGACCTTGGAAAATGTCTGTTTGTTTGAGAAAGTATCCCAGCATGGAGCCCAGGCTGACACCGGACTCGCAGGGATGCTCGCACCGGCCAGAATGCTGGGATTCAGGGCGTGCACCACACACCCCGCTGGACAGGATAATCCTCGTCTTTACAGGAATGAGGAAAACAAGCCTGAGAAGCCAGGAAAGTGCCCCCTCTGGCAAGGTAGATCCCTAGCGTCCCTCCGGACATGTCAGCCAGCCGGCCTCCTAACGGAGGAGGAAAGGCCCAGGACAGGGCGGCACTGCCCGGGGGACTCCCCCGGGCCTCCTCCCCGCGCTTGTGCAGCGAGGTTTCCTCCTGTAACGTCTGGGGAGGGTTGAACACACACCACTGCTGCGCTGGAACAGGCAGCGCAGCTCCCGGACATCCTACGTCAGTAAAGGAACTAAAGAAACAAAGTTTAAAATAAAAACAGGATTTATTTGAAGGTTGGGGAAGAGAGAGACAGAGACATGGCCGACAGCTACCCGGATGAGCAGGGAGCATTCGAAAGGGAAATACATGGGACCCTTGTCCCCGTGGGCTCCCGGAACCGCTTGGGCTCCTGTCTCTGTCCTCCCCTTGGGTTTATTCTGGTTACAGGACCTTTCCTGTCATTGGTGGAGGTGAGGATCACAAGGGGGGCTTAGGGACAGGTAGTTTAGGTTTAGGGGTGAAGTAAAGGGGCTTATGTTAATCATAAACCTTCCTGAGCTTGGTTCGCCTTTGTCACTCTGATTGCTGAATCTAGCTGTCTTTGTCTTTCTAATTGCTTGAGCCTAATCTGCAGAGGCAGAAGCTGCCTCTAGTAAATTACCTCTTGCCGGATTTAGTAATCCTCTCCAGGAACTTTTTACAATGCTCAGCCAGGCCTTCATCCTATCCTTTCCCTTCTGAGGGGCCCCTCTCCCTACACTTTGTCCTCTGTCCCCAGTCCGGCTGCTGCCCTAATATCCAGCAGTCGCTTTACAGGTTGGTCTCAAGTTTGGAAGGCGCAGGAAGGGCGGTGGAAGGTTCTAGAAGACAGTGGAGCATCTGTCTGCCTGGTGGGGACGGCTGTGGTGCAAGCATTCGTTCCCTCTGAGTGTCTCAGGTAATGACAGGCAAGAGTTATTCCAACCAAACCCAACCCCTGTGACAGCAGACTGTCCCAGTCATGGGGTCCTAGTGTCACAGGCGCTTGCTTCTGGAATGTTCCGAGGAATGGAGGCAACAGTGGCGCTTTCAGGAAGGGTGAGGAAGATGCAAACCCTCCCGATGGCCCCCGTGCCAGGGTGCACACAGCTGAAGCAGCTGAGAGCTGGGTACCTGCTGTGAGCCCCGGGAGCCCCTGGGAGAGCCCTCCCCCTCCCGATGGGTCCTCAGAGCACATTTTAATAGCAGTGGCTCACTAGGGACTCTTCTCCATGACAATGACGGGGAACTGGGAATCGCTGGAAAACATTTTAGCTGCAGGCAGAGTGGTGTCCTGTCCCCAGGGCCCCTCGCTGCTGTCTCCAGGTGGGAGTCACCTGCCTGCCTGCTCGCGCCCTCTGTTCCCCTCCTCAGCCCTGCTTTGGTTTGGATGTGGGTCCCCAAGTTGTGTGTGAAGGGCACGGGGGCGCGGGACCGTAGAGCACGTGGTCTGCAAGGGGACGGCAGGTCACAGGTCCTGGGGTGGAAGCCGAGCCCTCCTGCTTCCTGCTCACCATGAGCTGCTGGCTGTGCACAGCCTCTGCCCTGCAGTGCCACCCCCAGCAGAGGCCGGCTTCACTGGATCTAAGGCCAGTGTCTCCGAACCACGCGCCATAGCACACCTTTGCTCCTCACAAGTTCATTCCCTCATTCCAGTAAAGCGAAGCTCATTTGGCTCCGAAGCAATTCTGGGCGGGGACAGCTCTCTCCCTTAGCTTCTGAGTGCAACACAGGTCCTCCCTTCTGAGCGCAATACAGGGCATTTGTGCTAATGGCTTGCTTTGTTTTTGAGACAGGGCCTCACTATGTCATTCAGGCTGGGCTTGAACTCACTGAGAAACCCTGGCTGACCTTGAGCTAGCAAGGATCCTCATGCCTCAGCCTTCTGGGTGCTGGGATTACAGGCAAGCACTCCCGCACCTGGCTTGCTAACTGCTTTTTTAACAACTCAGTAAGTAAAATTCTAGACAATAAGTAAAATTCTAGAATCCTGATGTTCTTTAGAATCAAGGTGTTGTTATAGGCAGCTGAGTTAGAGAGAAATATTATAGGCAGTCAGGGCCAGGCCCTCGAAGGAGCCAGTGTAGAAGACAAGATACCTTACAAATGAAGAGGTGGTACTTGCTTCACGCCAGATCTCAAGACCAAAGACTAAACAAACACACCCACTTACTTCCCAAGGGATGGACCTCCGGGATTGATAGTCTAAATAGGTAGCTATCACCTTGAACAGTCCCTGACCCAACCTTTTACAGGAAAAGCCCCTGTTCTGTATGCATGCCCACTTGCTATGTGACTTGCTTCCCCATTTGATCCCAATTTAATCAACTTTATCTGAAAAATTATTGGCTGATAGTAGTTTTGTCCATTTTTCCCTTACCTTGGACCCACCTCACCTTGTAGTTTTGCTCTATAAAAGTCCCTAGAAAAGACAAGAGTCTTGGGTAACGGACTTGGGCCCCCCTTCTGTCCCTTTCTTATACAGAAGCTTTCTTTTCTTTCCCTCAATAAATATATTCTGTTCTTAACCTCCACTGTTCCTAAAATTCATTCTTTGATTTTAGAGGACACGAATTCGTCCCAGATATCATTCAGG